TTGCAGACGTGGTTAGAGAAGTCTTCTCTTTTGAACAAACCCTGAGTAATAAGAGAAAAGCTAAACACGTGAAAATACAGTGAAATACTAGCCAATGCCAAGAAAAAGATCCAGAGGAGGGAGTCAGCTTGATGTCCTCTCTCCATATTAAAGTACAAGAGAAGACAGGGTAGAGCGGAGGTGTGAGCCAGGTCCCGCAGGGTGCATGGGCCAAAGAAAGGAATTGGGATTTTATTCTTAGCATATGTTAACCATGAAAGAACTTAACATCTGCTTAGAATCATCTGGTTCAGAATGCTGACAGCTGTGTAAATAATGTGGCCAAACGGAGAAACTGGCATAGATATTGTCGGTACTTTATATGTACTACATAATAATATGTTGGAGGAATGTATTTAAAATAAATTTTAAATGAGGGGCCAACAAGTTTTGCTAACATGAGATAAGGATGTGGAGAATGAGAAAGAGAAAAACTGGATTAACACTAGGTTTGAGGCTGAGGACCTGGGTGATTATCATTTTCACTCTTTGGATAGACGAGAAATGAGCACGCTCACAGATGGCGTAGGGGAGGGGCCGGGAGAATCAAGAATTCTGTTTAAATTAGGATCTTTAATATCCTAGGGCAGTGATGGCGAACCTTTTGAGCTTGGCATGTCAGCATTTTGAAAAACCCTAACTTAACTCTAGTGCCATGTCACATATAGAAAATTTTTTTATATTTGCAACCATAGTAAAACATTAACTCTGGTGCCGTGTCACATATAGAAATTTTTTGATATTTGCAACCATAGTAAAACAAAGACTTATATTTTTGATATTTATTTTATATATTTAAATGCAATTTAACAAAGAAAAATCAACCAAAAAAATGAGTTCGCGTGTCACCTCTGACACGCGTGTCATAGGTTCGCCATCACTGTAACCTAGGCGGTCATTTAACAACCAAAGGAGATTTTGAGTTGGCAGAAATAAGTAATAATGCTTGTCTGGAGAATGCAGATTTGTTCCAGTGCAGTTGGTATATTAGAGAATAATTGGGGTATAACAGGAATAACCAGATTTTAGGTTTTCTTCTGTACAATTTTGTCCACGAAGAGCAACATGTGAACACAGAAAACCATACCCAGCTGAACCCAACCACCCAGAAGGCACACAGCTCAGACTGCAGTGCCAGCAGCATGAGCTCACCCCCTACCTGGTGTCACCACTTCCATCTGAGAGGAAATGAGCCCCTGCCACCATCGCACCACAATGCAGGGGCTGCAACCCCTCGGGACACCCACTTCCAAAAACAGATGGTAGGTCGTTTTCAAAATAAAGCTCCTTATTTATGGCAGTAGTTATGTCTTCTCAACCAGTTATCCTGTGTAAAACTGCTAACATTTTATTAGTTTTCTAACTTTTTTATACATCACTGAGTATTGGGCTTCACCCCATTCCCTCATCTACCTGGCGGTTTGACTGCCTGACTTCCCACAGTGTGGTGATTTTTAGAACACATATGCTGTGTGAGAGCAGAGTTGATGGGGTGAGTGACTAGAGTTGAAGTGAAAGGCAGAGCTGGAGGCAGAACTGTGGGAGTGTTAGAGAATGGGTTAGAGCAAGGGATGTGGTCTCATAACTTCCTCACATACAATCTCAGGTTTATATTTCTCCTGTGCCAGTCCCTCCACTTGGAGCATCTTGAAGGCACAAACTCATCTTCATACCCCAATTTCCAGCAAAGAGTTGCTTGATAATTTTCAAACCCAGCTGACACCAGAACAATATATGCCAGTCTTCTAAATCTTAGTCACTAAGATTTGCCTGCAAGTTTGAGAAACCTCAGCTGAGTTATGTGCAGACATTAAGCTCATTAAAAAAATATATTTAAAAAATATATATTTTTACTGATTTCAGAGAGGGAGGGAGAGAAAGAGAGAGATAGAAACATCAATCATGAGAGAGAATCATTGATCAGCTGCCTCCTGCACACCTCACACTGGGGATAGAGCCCACAACCCAGGCATATGCCCTGACCTGGAATCCGAAATCGAATCACCTCCTGGTTCATAGGTCAACACTCAACCACTGAGCCACACCAGGTGGGCAAGCTCATTTTATTCTTAAAACATGGGTACAAATGCTGACTCTCCTCTCTCTTTCTCCAGCTCTCTCATTCTGTCTCATTTTGGAGGATTAGTGAATGCCTATCCTGTGAGGTTCTCCAGAACCTTTCCCACCTCCCCCTTCAACCCAGCAGGTGTGGTCCACTCACACCCCTCAGGGGCTGTAGCAATGGCTTAAGTTGAAGCTATTTCCCATGGCATCTACATGACCTACAGGAAACATGCTATGAACTAGTGTTTGTGTCCCCTGAAAACTCCCATGTTGAATCCTAGCCCCCAAGGTGATGGGTCGGAGTCGGGCATTTGGGAAGTAATGTAGTTATGAGAGTGGAGCCTTCATGATGGGATCAGTGTCCTTATAAGAGACCAAAGAGAGCCCCTCACCTCTCCCACCGTAAAGGCCACAGTGAGAAGATGCCTTCTAAAACCACAAAGAGGGACCTTAGCAGATACTGAATCTGCTGCCACCTTGTTCTTGGACTTCCAGTCCCCGGGGCTATAAGCAATGAATGTCTGTTTTTCTTAAGTTGTTCAGTCTGTAGTATTCTATTCTGACAGCCTGACTAGAATAAGACAAAATGTACTTATCTCTTCTACTTGAGTAGTCAGAATTCTGGCCCCATGCGCGTATTACTGACTTTGCCCCCAAGGCCCAAGAGTGCTAGCCTTTATGGCAGTTTGGGAGCTCTGCCCATTTAGAGGGTGGGATGGTTTGGGCAGGAGAAGTGAGGCAGAACAGACTGTGACTGCTTCAAAATTACATTCCCTCTCTAGTCATCTGGATATAAAAGGGGGGAGGGTGAGGGATTCACCCAGTTGGTTTTATTAAACTTCTCTCTTTTAGAAACCCAATAAAATGGCTGGCACACCAGTGAGAAATTTCATATCCTCAAAGATTTGGCTTTAGGGCTTTTGTTCTGGCTGTGGGCCAGAATCAGCAACAGCCACCTTACATCTTCTCGTCAAGCCAGTGAGCTGGGGAGCGAATGGGAAGGGTGTGTACAAGCCTCTCCTGGTAATCCTTAAAGACCCCCACCTACTTCCCTCCTAAGAAACTACCTTGTTCCCTTCATGGTCTCTTCTGCGTGGTTTCATAAAATATGCTGCTTTCTCTGAGTCATAAAATGGGCAAATGCCAACACAGAAATGCCACTGTTTTCTGCCTCATAATCCATTTTTAAGAGTGTGTAACATTGCTACCTTCAGTACCCTTAACACACTGGCCGACAGCACTTTATGGCTGGCAGTCAGGGAGACCCACCTGCCTCCGAACGCTTTAACAAATGGGCCTATTTGGCAGCCTTCCTGCTTTGGTACCTAAATTTCCATCCATTCACTTGAGGAAGGTTATTGTATTTCACATGCTGTTAAAAACCCAGAGTGTCAAAGTCATGCTTTATAGCATCACCCCAGGCAAATGTATCACTGTCAGAAGGCTTACTCCAATAAAACCTCTTTATGGGTGATAGATTTTATTTGTGAGTTTATGGCAAATATCTGAAACATCAGGTATTCATGTTGTAATCACCTTTTATGAGCCTTGGTTTTCTCCTCTGCTTGGAAAGCACATGCACACCTATGCCCAGGATTTAAAGGGCTGAGACTTGGACCAGAGTGCCCTGGGTAGCCTTGGGCATGTTGCTCAGTTTCTCTGGATTTCGTATTGTAAGCCACCCTTACACAGATGTGATGACCATTACTTAGGCATTAATTCTAATGTGCTCTGAAGATGTGAAAGTGCTCTGTGTGGCCATCATTTCAGAGCTTTATGAGTCTGGGTTCATTTTATTGGTTTTCACGGATTGCTTTATTTTTTTTTGTATTAAGACATTAACATTAGCCCCAAAAATGAGAACGTCTCTATTGCATCTTCCAGTTTCGAAGAGTAATGTTTCAGGTTGGCAGTGAAAACGGATGTGAAAGTGCGCCAGCATCTGCATTAGTGAGATTTGCTGCGCTTCTTTGTTCTCTAATACAGGGTGAGAACTCTACCCTGTACAGACAGGCTTGAAATATATTCCAGAAAAGTTTGTCCTAAGAAGTGCTGACTGATACGTATGATTGATGGCCATTAGGCTGGAGGGCCATTGGGCTGTTGAGGAATAGGCTCATTTCCGTGGGGACGCAGTGGAGGACCTTCTAGCCAACTGAGGAAGGGGTGTCCATGCTGTGTACTATCATTCAGTGCTGGGAAGAGGTTGGGCGTCAGAAAACAAACAGTTCAGTGAGCCATGGCTTTCCTTCCCTTTCTCTCTGGAAGTGCAGGTCAAGGCCAATGGACAGCCCACCAGACAGTCAGAAATGCGACTAGTCTCCCAAGGGAACACTAATAAGATGGGGACAGTAGGACAGTAGGTTCCCTCTGTGCACACACAGCATGGGGAGGGCTAGTGTGCAAGACAGAAATATTTCCGGAAAATGTCGAAGTGGTTCTGGAATCTGCTTCTACCCAGGCACCTGTTATATAACCTCAAGTAAATTTATAATTTTCACACTGACCATGTCCCCACCAGCTGAATTAAAAAAGTAGTCTCTTCTGACTGCCACATGAAAAAAAGAATGCACCAGCATTTCAAATTACCTGTTATTAAGTAGAGGCAGGTAGAAAGTTAATTTTGTAAAAGTTGAACCATCTAATGTAGTAAGTGGTAATTAAAAGGCATAGACATTGCCTGAAGGTAGGTTAATCATTAAATTAGATTTAGATGTGGCTCAAAATATGATATCCCAGGAAAAGAACATCACACTCTCATTCACTTTAATGACCTCTTCACTCAGCACAACCACTTTAGCAGCTAACAAGCTTTCTGATTCCATTCCAGAAAAAGCCTGCTTCCACCTACCCAATTATCCTCTCCATTCTGACCCATTCATTTCTGAATTTGATAATTAAGGTATATCTTTAAGTAGCCCAAACATGACAACCAAGACGAGTAATGATGACAAGTAACTGCTCTTCCATCGTGCACCTTCAAAGGTAAACCTCATTTGGTTGAACTCATTCCAACAGTAAAACTCAAATGAATTTTCAGCATTTAATCTGGAACCTGCAGCCACTATCATCATTGCTGAAGTTAACAGTGCTTCATATTCAGATGTGAGGTAATAAAGGTATCTGGTGATGGGCTCAGGATAGGGATAACATATCTACAAAAATGAAAATTTATCTCAGCTATATAATTCCCTTAACATGTTGACCATGCATTAGGAATTAAATAACACTTTTAAAGGCCTAAAACATGTTCATTGTATTTTGCCTCTACCTTTTTTCTTGCTGATGTTATAACAATTAAGCAATCATGCTTATTTTGTAAGTTTTTACTCTATATATGAATTCCACTCAGTGAAATGGACATGTTGACACTATCAACCAATTAATTTCTTAAGACCTATTATTTGTCTTCAACATGTTAAATAAATGTATTTAAGCCATGATTGTAGCTTACCAGAAGTTCTACAATATATTTTAGGAAATGGAAGTCATCCCATCCGCCTATATAATAAAGAGGTAATATGCAAATTAACCCTCACACCCTCTGAAGATGGCTGCCTATGACCAGGCCGGCAGGGGGATTGGTGAGGAATGACCAAATGACTAAACAGCAGGCTGCATGGAGCGACCAGGCCAGCAAGGGGGTTAGTGAGTAATGACCAAATGACTAAACCAGCAGGCTGCATGGGGTGACCACGCTGGCAGGAGGGCAGTGAGGGGTGACCAGGCTGGCAGCGGGGGGGGGGCATTTGGCAATGATTAGGCTGGCAGGGGGGGCCATGAGAGGCGATTGGGCCAGCAGAGGATGGCAGTAAGGGGTGACCAGGCTGGCAGGGAGGGGGCAGTTGGGGACGAGCTGGCTGGCAGGGGAGGCAGTTGGGAAAACCAGGTTGGCAGGGGGGGCAGTAAGAGTTGACCAGGCTGGTGGGGGGACAGTTAGGGGTGACCAGGCTGGCAGGGAAGGGACAGTTGGGGGCAACCTGGCCAGCAGCAGGAGGCCATTAGGGGTGATCAGGCCAGCATGCAGAGGCAATGAGGGGCAATCAGGCTGGTGGGGGGGCGGGGGCAGTTAGAGGAAACCAGGCAGGCAGGCAGGCAGTGGTCCAGGATTGTCAGAGGGATGTACGACTGCTGGATTAGGCCTAAGGGATCGGGCCTAAACCAGCCCTCGGACATTCCCCGAGGGATTGGAGAGGGTGCAGGCTGGGCTTAGGGGACCCCCTCCCAGGGGTAGAATACATTGAATGGATTTGACAAATGAATAAATGTTCTAAAAACTAGAACATAGAACTTGAATTTTCATTAATAGGATGATAGTGCTATTTCAAAGAATCAAAGAAAGCAAGTATATGCTCTTTCCCAGACATATCAAAAGGGACCTTTGCATACCTATTCTGAGCATATCTGAAATGATCAGAGTGAATAAAAGCAGTCACATGAGTTAAGATACTAGAAACACTTACAGCCTGTAGCCAGGCACACAAAGAGAGTTAGGAAAGTGCATGGTCAGAACATTCACAACCTGCCATCAAGGTATTAATTTGTCAAGCCAGTATGGATGTCTACCCTACATATGACACTATTGATTAATAATAAGTGGATACCAATATGTATACTGGCAACTGAGGTATACAAATAAAACAAAGCATTGATTGTGTTATCCAGACCACTGTCAAGTGGAAATAAATGTAATAAAATCCAAAGCATGATAAGTAAGGAATGAATGAGCTAAAGCAAACCCACCACAGATAACCACAGGAGCTCTCGAGAGATGCTCTAAAGTCCTCAGGATCCTCAGTAAGAGGCAAGGACTACCTAGGTCCTTGACAGTTTTCCAATGAAATAAAGGTACTTCCAGCTCAAATGAATCACCCTTAAGTAGAAGTGTTCCACTCCTGAGTAGATCTCTTGATAGTTTCTTACTGCAAAATTAAAATGTAACCTCTTAGCTATATAACAGCCTCCAATTTGACTCCAAGCTTCTTTTCCACCCATTTGCTCTTCTACATCCTGTCTCATTCACAGTATATTTCAGAGGCGTAAGTATAATGGTTGACTTTTCACAAATATGCCCTGTATCTTCAGCCTTTGTGCCTTTAAA